GAACTTTCAAATTTTATTTTTAATCATATTTTGAACAATCTTACTGATTTTCAGCTTGGTGGGAATTTAGGTAGCTTCAAATGTCTGAATTGACCGGACTATTACGTGTACTAATATAATTTAAACCAATATAAATGTGAAAGTTTGAGGATGTATGTATGTATGTATGCTTGTTTGTGGCTCTTTCACACCTAAATGACTGAACGGATTTAGATGAAACTTTACATAAATACATCTTATACATCAGAATAAATGCTACAATTTATACAGGTTTTGTGTAATTTTTGTCATAATATAACGATAAATATCCAGAAAGTCGGAAAAATTCTTGCTTCCTGAGAGATATCTTGGCTTGCGCTGCCAATACCGTTGGAGTTACATGCAGATGATGTACCGTGAGATTGTTTATCTTGAATAGTTCAGAATGAAAGTGCGCGATAGCATATGTGGTAGCCACAATATGCATGAATACAATTAAATTGGATACTTTTTTTACAATCCGCAATTTTGAATTTCTGTCAAATTCTCATAAAAATTGATACAATTGTCGTTTCAAGTATTCAATATAGATAAACTTTGTCTTTTACACTAAGTAATTTGGACGAGTCGTTTGAAAGTTATCACGAAAAGACTAACTTCACGCAACGCAGAAAGCCATTACGTATCGCGTCTACTGTAAGATGACTGAGGACGATGGGCGGGGGTAGAGAGGCGGTCTAAGCAATGAAGCGCTATCGCGAAAATATAAATTACTAGCTGTCGCCCGCTCTTATATTAACGTTCAGTCGAAGCTACTGAACCTAGAATCTTGAAATATGCAGGTAGATTCTTTGTATAGCTTAAATAAACATCAGGAAAGAGAATCAGCAATTTCTACCCCCAAAGAGAAATATTGGGGTTGAAAGATTGTATCGGATATCGTCAGTTTTGAAGTTGAAAACCTGAAGTTTTGGGTTGATGAAAAAATATTGTAACTATTTGTTTGAAATGGTTTGTCACGAAACTCAATGAGAGAAACCAAATTTCACGCCGGCGAAGCCGTGGGCAATAACTAGTATGATATAATATGATTTGAAATCCCTGAAAGAACCAATTAAATTGAAATTAATAGCTGAAAATAACAATTAAGCCAAAAAAAAAAACAGAAATGAAATGAAATTCGGCAAGAAATTGAAAATTTCTTCCACTGGAATTTTCGCAGTTTGATGACGGCAAAATTATGCTACTATTTCGGGATAGTTGTAATTACCATTTGTGTATATCAGGATATCAGCAATATATATTCAGTTCAACGCTCGTATATCCGAAGTGCCTGATAAGTTGATAAAAAATTCAATTCCTACACCAGTAGTTACCTGTTATGATTATTTAAATTAACAACGGCACAGTTGAAAATCTAGTTTTCTACCTCTTTCAAAACAGGGCATTGTCCTCACTATTATACCGTACGAAGTACTAAGACTCATTTAATGTTCCATTTACAATATTCTGTTCTTATTTTATCGGAAGTTAAAAAAGAATGACTAACTTGTGAATTGAACTAATTCATATTGAAAAATCATAGAATGAAGAATGTTATCGTCGCTCATGATGCTGGCCTTCCTACCATTGTATAGAGTACATAGTTCTCTGTCTACAAAAATACATGCCTTTGAAACGGACAAAACGTTTGAAACAATCTGATTTTTTTTTTCGCAGTACAATTTTCAGTGATTACTATATTGTCTTTAGGCTGCGGGCACGAAAATGACGACAGCCGAGCGATGGCGAGGCGAGAGGACGGCGTAACGGTGGAGATGCCTGCAACAACATCGACATGACGCGCACGAAACGAGCGGTGGCGTTTCGTGCACACGTGAGATACTTTTCTACAACTAAAGCAAATTCAAATCCAAGATAGAGTGGATGTAAACATTGACATGCCCTACGCACGTGATATTGACAATCCCAAGAATTGGCCAGGGTCGTATTCAGAACCAACATCTTGTTGATCGCAAATGCTGTATCATACTTAGGAAAACTTTTTTATAATAACGAGTAAAATGCACAAGTTTTGCAGTTTAACGGGAAAAATGCAGATAATATGTGTAATATAAAAAGATTTTCATTGGATTTTTCACAGCGCACTCAAGCATTATATGAAAAGAGAC